CCGCCTCCAGTTTGTTTCCTGCTATGTTGTCTATCTTGCCGGTAACAGTCAAAACCATCTATCTGCACGAGAGCATCCTCAACGTTTTGATTTAAACAGGTTTCTTGTATGCATACGACACGTGTTACAATGTATGCGTGTGCTCAGTGAGGAGCTCAAATCCGAAATCTTTGCGAAGAGAGAGCGAACGTTGGTACTGACCGATGACGGCACGGTCATCTTGCAAGAGGGGTGCTATTAAGAGCACACTAACATCCAGCACTCTCGCGCTTCTTGATCCAAGCATGGTTGCCAGATTCTCCAAGCATATTGTTTGTATGGGGCAAAGAATTAACAGATTTCAATCCATGTATATCCTGACAAGAGTAGGTATGGGTCCGGAACATGTTTGACATCGAGATAACCATAAAATTGAGTAAGACGACGAGCACACAGAACATAGCGCAGTCAGTCGAAGGGCGCACCCTATAAGACTTTCATTACACGAAACAGTGTGGTAAATGATAAGAAATCAGTAATCCACATTCGCTGAGTTTCATGTGTTGGTCCCTTTGGAACTGTTTACTATCCTTGTTTCATATGTAGTGTTTAACTATCGTCGTGGACAGCTGCATTCATGTTCTGTCGATGTGGGATAGTATGCATAACCTGTATTCAGGTATCATAACACAAAGCAAGGTATTGAAAATATTGAATTGGATTTGATTACCATTTCATAGCTGTTCGATACGCAATTATTTTTTTTCTACCACTGAATATCTGATTGATGCAGTTGTGAATAAGCTAAGGGGTTATTTTGTACTCAATTCAATCTCCCCGTTCCGTAACAGGTGGAACCGTGCTGTTGGATGACATACACTTCGCATCGGGAAACGCAGGAAACATTGCAAATCCTGAACGATCTGGATCTGGACACCGAGCGAACTGAAGAAGAGCTGTACGCGAAATTCGGTCTGGACGATGCGTACCAATCGGGCCAGTTGACTGTGTGGCAAAAATTCAAACCAAAAATCTGGATGCTTTTTGACGAATCCTATTCCTCCTTGGGTGCAAAAGTAAGTTGGATCCCCCCCCGCACTCTTACACACACACACACGAGCGCGCATGGAACGCTTCTTGTTGGATATTTACACGACTAGTTTCAGCTCGCCAATCCCCTTATACACTAACGCGCCTCACAAATGCAAACCTAACATGCACGGAACGGTTGAGAGTGAAATTCCTGTGTCGTTTCGCAAGCTAGACAAAATCAACTATGAAGTAGCCATCGAGTATGGAAATGCCGGTCCATAGATAGATCCAAATTAATTAAGTTTAATTTGCTTAGATCACGCAATATCAATGCTTTTTGGGTGTGGGCGCAGTTCCGGAAATTCCTGAGAACGTTCCGAACGGACAATAACAGATTGTCCGCTGACGAAGTGGTCGCGAATTGTACAGTCAACTAAGAGGCGAATCGGTTCACAGCACCCACCGTTCCAGAAAAAAACCGATTAACATTTTAGCGTTTTAGAACAGAGCTTCACAAACAGCATGATTCTTGTCCGAAACAAGGAATGATTCAAACATGACTCACGTGACATCTGATGCTTCAGTTTTGAAAGCGCATAGATCGTAGACGCCCGGGGATTTGAATAATCCAAATAAGATTGACGAATTGGGAATTGACGGGAGAATGTTGTGACTGCGCCCAATGCATAATTAACCAAGTTTGACAACTGCATGCCGTGTGCATGAAAATTCCAAAAATATGTCATACACATATTACATACAAACAGTCAGGTCAAGAGTGCACTTTATTCAGCCAATATGGGCAGAATTTTCAGTGAAAACAATCAGTTTTGTATTTGGCACACACGCTATGAAAAATGAAAAATGCCCATTGGCACATTGGAAACAAAGTCCGGATGGTGAAAGGAGCTGTTTTTGATAAATTCATCAACGGGACATTACAACTATATACGGTTATTTGGGTTCGTCTATCAGGTTTTGATCGCATCAGGCTAAGTATAGAATGTATGCCAGGATTGTTTACCTGATGTTCATCTCGATCAGTTCGTTGGTGTGTCCCCCGGGGGTGGAGTGGATTTCTTCGTCCGAGGCCAGGGCAAGGCTACAGCCCGAACGAACTGCTTTTGATTGCACAGTTTGGCGGGGGGGGGATCCAAT